TCTCAGCAGTGTCCAGAGCACACTGAGGCTTACACATGCAATATGCAATGAGCATCTCACGTTGCCACTGTAACCTAGTACACTTTAATTATATTTATATTATTCCTTGTGTCGCATCATAATACCTGGGCGCCTCCATTTTGTTCTCCTATGTCCATGATGCCTGCACTGTGCCTTCTGTGGGATACTCTTTGACTCTCTTGTAATGCTCAGATATTTACATTCTTCTAAAATCGATTGCATAATGATTTGGACTCATTAAAGCAGCTCTGTCACCACCCCCTAAATGAGTATTTCATAAATATAAAATCTTCATTACACACTCACATTGACTGTGTAGGTATGTCACTGAAATTCTAATGCAGTCAAAAGATATACTAAGAGAAAGTAGGGACTTTCGACAAAAGGCATAGCTACCATACCAAAGCTTTATAATTTCGCCCCAAAAAAGCATTGTCTATGGTGGATCCTCTGTAAACCTCAATGTTGTAATCTCGCGCATGCACAAGAGTACAGTATGGATAATGGCTACAGGCAGAGGAAGCACCAGAAGATAAAGAGGACTGCAAGAAGACCATTGCGGCAGCTGTGAGGGACAGGTTCAGGTAAATACAACTGACCATACCCTGCACATTATAGGTATTATTTATTTAAGCAAGGGGAGACCATAGATCTAAACTACATTTTAAAAATTTTTTTTTTTTTTTTTTAACATTAGAGTGTTCCTTTACCTTTGTAACTCATAAGATGTGAGATGTTAGGCCAAAATAGCAAAATTAGAAAAAATATCCTTCTGAGTTCCAGATATTATAAATAAGATTGTAGGAACTTTATTCACTAAGCCAAGATCTATTGACAATTGAGAGAGCAATAACACATTATAGAACAAAATGGTCCAATTGGAAAAACTCTGCAACTCACCTGGGATTTATTTACTAATCATAGAATAGAAAACAGAATGGCAAATTATAGGATAAAAAAGCCAGGTTGTGATTACAGCTGAATTGGAGAACTTTTGCCAAGCAGCTATTTTTGCTCATATTATCCAGTTAGTTTTTTTAAAATTTACTGTAACTCAGCATTTAGCGAATAAACCCCGGCTGTCTTTCCTGTCACTGGTTGTGGAGAGGGGAGAAGGGAATTGAAAGTTTTAGAATGCAAATTCACTATTTAGTGAATCAACCCCTAAGTAAGGATTTTCTGAGAAGTGTTAAATTACTCTAAATAAAATAAATTAAAACAAATATTATATTCCCATTCATATAAAATGTATACTCCATGAAATGGAGAAGAGGGAGCATGCAAGTGAATATGACTACATTCATTTAATGACATTTCATAATAAAAACCAAGAGTACTTTGCTCACACGTTTAATATATATAGTATGTCTGTCTATAAACACAACATACAAATAATTCATAGAAAGGCTTTAGCATCATAGTTAGTGATTGAGAAACCCGAGGTTTGTGATATCCACATTTCTTTTCCTACTTTCGATTAGTAATTTACAAAAAAACAACAACAAAAAAAACGAACGACTACTTTTACCCAAACTTTTATCGCTGGGATATGATCTAAACCTGAGCACAATTAATGCAGCGTTGGCTAAGTTTAATGATAACGAGAAAGAAACATTGTGCATTTAGATCTACATTTAACCAAATAGGTTTATATACATACAGTATGTACCCTGTCAAATCGAGACTGCTATGAAACCTCAGTGGGAAGCATGGACTGCTGTGACATTCTATACAGCCACACAGGTTACAGAGACATATTCATTAACCCCACGAGACCTGCATAGAGAGACAGCAGTATGACTTACCGGTATTATACCACCGATTGTTGGGCAATTGACATCGCTACTAACAATTCAAATTATATTGTATCGCTTAACATTGTTAAGGAGTAATATTACACAGATAATTATACCACACAGAGAATTATTAAATGATTAACGAATAACTGATTCTCAGGGAGAAATATTACATACATCTAAATAGTGCTTTGTATTTTATTTAGGTGTGATTTTTTTTTTTTTAATGTCTATCTATCTATGTACCTACAATACCTATAGATTTAGTTGGATATAGATTTAGTTAATTTATTTTTAATTATTATTATTAATTAATTAATTTATTTTTTTTAAAACCTATTTATACAATACTGCTATATTTTCCATAGTACCAATCATGTTTCTAATTTCCTGTGCAACAAGTGCTCTGGTTGACTTCCATCGCAGGGTAGATATTTGTTATATACGAGCTAGATGTGGGGGTCTCCGTACGATATATTTTATCAGCATTACATATATATATATATATATTTATAGTATACTGTATGTAACTTTTTTCGGTTGTTTTCACTAGTGATTTTTGGCATCGCTTGCATTATTTGCTACACTCATTGATTGATGCAGCACAGTTATCTCTTTGTAGAAGTGAACTCGAAATAGCTGCATATTTATCGAAATGTATCAAGATATTCTGAAAATAACTAACTAAATAAATAAACGAATAATTAGACACATTTAATAAATACTTAAATCGAAACACCCTTTGTAAAGGTTACTGCTGTGAGTACAGATTAAAAACCTGTTGGATAAAAAATCCCTGTATGAAGCGAATGATTCCCCAGGTCCCCCTACATGTTTGGAGGTTAATATTCCTATGTAAACTGTGCTCAGGCGATTTATCATCCTCCCTACCTGTCTGCTTATATCCTATTCTGTTTGTCCCTCCAGCTCTTTCAAGCCTCTCATACTCTGACAGCTGTAATTTAACCTCTAATATATGGATCTCCATTTGTGATTTATAAGGAATAGATCACACGCATCTGGCTTGTTGGATCCTGTCTTACTGTACGCAAAGACCAGACCTGGGATATATTATAAAAACTGAAAGATCTTTATAAAACAAGTATTAGGAAGTATGCTACGTGGATAGGATCAATCCAATAGTTATTGGAACAAGAACTAGGTTTTAAAATAATAGACTGTGTATTCCACTGTCAATATTAATTAGCTGAAAATTAATTGCATTAAAGGGAATTCCTAAATCCTGGATCTACAGTTTACAAATCAAGCTTATAGTATGTATATGTGAGGAGTCAGTGAGCTTTAAAAATAATGCATAGTCTGCTTGTTTTTTTAATTTGCAGATAGATTTCATCAGTGATTGTTTTTACAAATATTTAATATACTTATTAACCTTATGCTATTAAAAAAACCAAAAAACCTTATACAACATAAAAAGAACAAACATGTATAGTCTGAGTACAGATATGTATTGGTAGTTAAATAACGTGAACGATTGTGGTTTAATGTTCTTAAAGTGGGGGATATCCCATTCGTTTCCATGGGGATTGCGCCACTTTTAGAACTTTGCCTAAAATTGCTCTTCATGCAAAGCTCCTTAATTTAAATGTAAAAATAGCGCTATGTGTAAAAATCGTGCAATACAGCAAGTTGTTAGGGATATTTAGCCTATAGCTATATAGTTATTTATCATTTAGCCATCTTTCCTACCAATAATTTATATTAAAATGAAACAACTTCGTTTAGTTTGCTTTCTAGGAACCTTATAATAGATTATTGAAGTTAACACGAAGTGAGACTATCTCTCTCTCTCTCTCTCTCTCTCTCTCTCTATCTTTCTGATCGATCTATCTATCTCTCTCTCTCTGTCTTTCTGATCGATCTATCTATCTATCTATCTATCTATCTATCTATCTATCTATCTATCTATCCTCTCTCTCTCTCTCTCTCTCTCTCCCTATATCTCTATACAAAGTGTGTACAGTAGTGTTTAATTAAAATTACATGATCTATCCCAATTTTGAATCCAAATATCACTAGCGATCCTGTTATATTGTAAAGTGTTACACAGTAACCCTTTAAATTGTAGACGTTATAAGTAATCATATTCAAATTAAAGAACTATTCTAAGGGGTGATCGTAAAGACTCTGCGAATAATTGTTAATCAATTCTGCAGCTATTGTAGTTAGATATAGTACGGAGTGCACGTATTTTGAGTATGTGAAAGCAACAGGTGGTAAATAAGTCTGCTAAAACAGGCTTTAAATATTTACTATAACGTAATAACGATTAATAATGGGATTAATAAGCTGTCATGCACAGTAAAACTAATAAATAACGAAGTGTACGCTTTTGGTTTGAAATTCCATTTAATAAACCATCAATACAGGTTAGTGAAACAGTCCATTGACATATGTACATAAAGTATAAATTAATTTCATGAAGTAATGAAAAAGCTGTCACAATAATACACATACAATTTTTTTTTATACAATAAAGTGCATTTAGGAACAAAAAGTGCCATTTAAAATGGTTAATGTGAAGAAAGAATGAACGGTGATAATAACGGGTTTTATATATCGCTCCTGCCATTGTAATAAAGGAAAATAACGAGAGAGAAAAAACAAAACCAATTTAAAAAAATCAAACGGTATGAAAACCACGCTGGAAAATAAAGCCTGATTAATCGTGATTAAATGAGATAATTTCTGTATATATGGAGTTATGAAAACCAAACGAATCAACCAGAAAGGCGTAGCAATTGTATCTATTAAAACTTGTAATCAAATTTGAGGAATTGTGTTATTATATTATATATTATCATATAGCTATGATACAATTGTTCCAGCTTTGTAGGTAATCCAGTTATATGATGATGATGGTGACATATATATATATATATTGTGTCTGTGTATATGTGAAATATTCTGTGCACGCGTGATAACATATATATTTATTACACATGCACCCTATAAATTACGTAAATTTTTAGTTGTTAATGAAATTACATCTATAGCAGCGATCAATCTTTACAGCCCAAAGTACATTAGAACGTGTATCTGATGCAATAATACATATTTATATTTATATATATCCTGGAAACAAAAATAGTTTCATTTTTTTGTACAGTTTGTGCAGTAAATTCTACTCTCCCAGTTGTGTTAGTTAAGAGTACCGTGTCTTTAAGAGTGGACCAGCACTGAGTGCAACATGGTGCCCTTGGTCTCTGGGTGGCTGGCAGAGGACTGAGCCAGAAGGGACACAGCTACCCCAGCCTGGGTAGTCTGTGAAGGGCACATACTGGATGGGTTTACTGCCAGGCTTGGGATAGCAGACACTGATGGCAGAGAGGCTGTTGGCTTTATGGGCACTGGTACAGCAGGGATGGTCTGACCAGAAGCATGGCAAATAGTTTTCATGGGCACTCCAAAATGTCCATAGTCTTGTGGCACTGCCATGCCTGTCATGGAGTCCATCATGCCAACGTGGGGCCACATTGAACTGACCATGTTGCTGAGTTGGCTTGGTACAGGGTATCCAAAGTGATGCATCATAGATGCTAAGGGTAGACCACCAGCCATAACCCCTTTATAGTCTCTGCCAATAATGTTCTCTATAGCAAAAGGGTGTCTAAATCCTGTAGACTGGCTCCCATTGATGTTATAAGGCTGGAAATGTGGCAATCTCCCAATGCCAGCCATGGTGGCACCTTCAGAAGAAGCAAGACCCAGTTTGGTTTGGTTGTGTTGGTTATGGAAATAGTGGATCATCTGGTGGTTTTTGGAGGCCAGGTGTTCTGCTCTGAGCACCTTAAATCTCTTTCTTCTCCTCAGAAAACTCCCATTCTCGAACATGTCCCCACAGTCTGGATGGAGAGCCCAGAAGCTCCCTTTCCCAGGCTGGTCAGGTCTTCTGGGGATTTTAATAAAACAGTCGTTGAAGGAGAGGTTGTGTCTCAAAGAGTTCTGCCACCTCTGGGTATTTTCTCGGTAGTAGGGGAATCTGTCCATAATAAACTTGTAAATGTCACTGAGGGGCAGCATCTTTTCGCTGGAGCTCTGGATGGCCATGGCTGTCAGTGAGATGTAGGAATAGGGAGGTTTCTGGTCACTGTATGAATTCTTCCCTGGTCGAGGCATCTCTGCTGTGACTTTAGTCCAAGTCCTTCTTCAGACCCAGCAAGTGGAGCAGAACAAGTGCTTGATGGATGACGCTCAACAGAAAGAGATGACGACTCTTGGCGAAGAGAGGTCAAGCCCAAGCAGACACCAAAGTGCTATAAATAAATGAAGAAATAAAAATCAGAGTGTAAAACAGTGATGCCCACTAGGTTTGGTGGACCAGCTGAGGTCAAGGTGTTCCTGCAGGCATAGCAGAGGCACACTGAATGAAAACTTTGTGCATGAGGATCTTGTGGACCAAGCACTGAGGCAGGAAGGGGACAGATCAATGAAAGAGTTCAGCAAACAGGCATAGAAATGACCTATTAGAACAAGCAGTAAATCCTCCTGTCTGTGCAGTTCCTGCGTTAGAACGCTGCGGATTGCTGCTGGTTCAGAGATGCTCTGCTTCGGGGATGATGAAGTGGAGAATTTCTAGCTCTGGCTGTGGCTGCTTTTTGTATGATCACAGAGAGGCTGAGAGACCCCCGCTGCTGCCTCTTTATTATCACATGACAATCGCTGGGGGACTTTACAGAGGGGAAAGTCTCATCTCGCTCTCATTTGCAGCACTTTTAGTGAGATCCAATGTGTCAGCTCTGTGTGAGGTCGCTCTCTGGGCTGGCGAGCCATGGACTTTGATCCCTTTCAATACCTAAGGAGCACCGGTCTCAAGGGCTTCTTTGCCATAAGACTTAAGTGGAGGGAGCCAAGATTGCAAAGGGAATTCTCACACTCTCTCAGGCACTCCAGCCTATAATGACATGCACCATTCCCCCTCTGGCATGGATAGCATCTTTAAATCATCTCATTTCTGCTGTGTCCTGATACCGCACTGGCACTGAGGCTAAACCCGTCCTATCAACACACAAATGTTAAAATATATATATAATAAAAATATATCTTCCTGCGATATACTGCAAACAAAACATTAAAACATTCTATGGCTTTAAAACTGAACAATTCAACTGCATCATTTTATTTGAATAACTTTTAATGCTTCTAGAAAAGACAGTTCAATGCTTCTTCTGAGGCAGTTGTTCCTGCTTAAAAATATATATACATTTTGAGGGTGGGGAGGGGGCAGCAGACAAAAATGTATGAATATACATTCCAGGTTTGTTTCTGTTATTTAATGTTAAAATATTTTAAGTCACTTGTCAAGGTACCACAATTCACCAATGAGTGAATTACCACTATATTACTGTGTGTTAATGTCAGGCTTCAAGAAATACATTTTTTTCTATTTTATATGTTTTGTATTGTTTTGTTTTTATATATCGTGAATATGAAATAACTATGAATGTTCTTAGTAAAAATGTTTATTCCGAAGAGGTTGCATGCACCTATTTTATAACTGGAATTTAGAATGTCCTGGGATTTGAGGAGTAATCTCCAAGTCAGCTACATAAAGCCTCAAACCAGGTAAAAATCATTTAGTAAACATCGAATTGCAGTGAATTGAAAACCAAATTACAAAATTGAGGTTAGAATAGTCAATAACTATCAGTGAGATTATATAATCGCTTCTAACTGAATAGCATTTTGTGCATAGATGTCAGAGGGAAAACTGCTACTAAGATATCTCATCTAATAGAATCTAGCCCTAAAACCAAGTAGATGTAGATCCTTCATAATCTGTTTTGGCCTACATTTTGCGATTTGCTCTTCAGTTCATTATTTCACAATTTGGAATTTAGTGAATAAACCTCTGAGATTGGAGTTCCAGATAAGGTTCTCAAATGTGACTCAAATAGCAAAGTAGTATAAACATGGTGCAAGTCATCCAATTTTGTCCATAAAGTGCCAAGGATCCCATGGAATCCCCATTGACTTTGAGGAACAGTTCTCCTAGTCATGGATAGTGGGCTGAGCGTGAAAGACCGCCTGGCACCCCAATCGGGTGGGTCCACCAACCGATGCTCCTAGTGCTCACTGAGGACTCCAAGCACTCCACCCGACACCATCAGCACTGTAGTCCGTGGGTCCAGCGTTACAGTTTGGCTGGGAACTCGCCATCCTCCACCCACCCTCGACTCAAGACCAGGATCCAGCTACCAGTGGGCAGACCTCTCCTACTCCAGAGAGTGTAGCAGGAACAGCTCTTAGAAGAGCTAGTAATTATAACACTCCAAAAAGCAATCCAAATAGCTGGTGGTTATAGCATGTATAGCTTTCTGCTACAAGCACGACACGAGGATGTGTTGAGGGTAAAGAGGAACTGAATTTTAATGGTGCCACACTGGCCTTTTATGTAAGTCCCCAAGCAAGGGGTACACTCTCATGGACCTTGTTGGGACAGAGACACAAAGTTTACAAACCATTTAGAACATTAATTAAATGTACGACACTCTCATAACAAACATACAATCCCTCCCCTCTGCCTGTGAGATAATTGAGTCTGATACTGTATTAACCCAATTATCTCCAGGCAGAAAAAACACATATTTTACAAATCCCCCCAAAGTACCCCAAAAACATATGATATCCCCACAATTGTTACATCCCCTGATAGCCCTGATCTGGGTGACCAACATTTCCAAAAATCACCCAGATCAGTTCAGGAGTTCAGGAATTCTATGGAAATCCCATTTTGACTGACCGCATGCCCAAAACAGTTCCAGAGAATCAGGCTGTGCGGCCGGTCTACTTTGAGAATTCGAAATAACGTTCAAATTACTCAGTTTATGTCTCTTGTTCTGGGGCATTGTCTTACTGAAAGCCGTTTGACTCCCAATCAAAGAGCCGAACATCCATGGAAGGTAAAGTTTTAGCGGTGTTTGTGTCGTAGATTGTCCGATTTGAGTTCCATGCACTCGACGACCAAACACCGCTGGATGAGTTTGACTAAACAAGATGGCCGCCGCCCCGTGTTCGAATGTCGAATGGCGGCCATCACTTCGACTGTTCGGGAGTACAAAGTGCAACTTCGAAGGTTCGAATTTGATCCAGTTAGAAGTCCAAGAGGCACAAACAGAGTCTTGAACCCAAAGTTCACCAAAGGGGCCATTGTCACAGGGCAGGAGGCTGGCAAACAGGCCCCTCCAAAAGCCAGTGGCGAGGTCACTTTCGCCACATATCTCCCTCCCTAAGGGGAGACTAACCAGGTGCCTGACCTCCTGTTGGTTGGTGCCTGAGTTAGTCGAGTAGCCCACCCATAAGTGAATACTGGACCTGGTGACTTCTGTAGCCCATCTCTGTCTGGTAGGTCTCCAGTGGTCAAGTGGGCATCCGGTACTCCTGGTCTCCCATGATCTCCCAGGCATGTAGGTGCAGGTACTTGGTGGCGTTCTGCCTTGTAGCCAGCGTTACAGCTGGGTAAGTCAGGGAGTCGTCCGGTCTTGGACTGAGGACAAGGGGAGGGCAGAGGCCAACTGCTCCCTGCCCTGGTGCCAGCTCTTCTGCTGGGATGGGGTCAGCAAATATTACCCCCCGGACCCAGTTGGGTATCTGCTGTGGAGAGGATTTGCATGTGGATCTGGACCGGCAGACCAGCATCCCTGTGGGATTGGTACAGAGACCGTGGTCCCATCTGCACCATTGTGGTCAGCGGTGCTGTCCCCCTGTAACTGTGGAGAGGGACCAGCTGTCTCCTCTTCTGGTATATTTGGCTGCTGCTGGGGAGAGAGACCGGTTGTCCCCTCTCCCTGTAAGGTAAGCTGCCACTGGGGAGTAGGACCGACTGTTGCAGACAAAAGATCTGCAGTTTTTGCAAGATGTTTTTAGATATATAGCCAATGAAAAAAAGGAATAACTAAATGCATGAATGCTTTTGTTTGTAGTATATTTAATGAATAGTGATATTTTATTTGTTTGTTTTTTCATTTTAGCAGTGAAGTGTTCCTTTAAAATCTTTGCTTCACATTTGTAAAGCTTGACGGGATTATTCACTAAACACCAGAAATATAATCTGGTGTATGGAAAAGATGAAAATGATCAAATTCCGACCGCAATGGCAATTCTCATATTTATTAAAGTCAAATATGGCCAGAATTCAGTTGGCCTGAGTTTTACTAAAATTTGGAACTAAATGTGTCCATTAGGAAGTTTTTTTTTTTTTTTTTCACATGTTTTTTGCTACTGATGATTTCATTATCATTTGCTTAATAAATCATTAAATAACTCTTGGCGCTGCAAAGATTACTTATGTAAAGGCAGACCAGTGCTTATTAGTCAGCCACCAAATTAAAAAAAGTTCAAAATAAATAATTAATTAAATAAAAACCCTATAGGGGTCCACTAGTGGTGACCCATAAATAAAAAAGGGGGGTATACCAATGTCCCCCACTGCCTCCAGCTAGGTTCAGCAGGTGGAGGCTATTATTACATAAGCCTAGTTTCCTCCCCTAGCCACCACCCATTGATGTTGGGTGGGGAGCTTAAATATAATATTTAGGGTGTGGATCAATATACAAGTAGGGTGTACCTAGTGTCCCCCCCCTTTATTGGCAATCGGTGAGAGCCCGTATTATTATATTCAGGGTAGGAGGACCTAGTGTCCCCCACAGCCTCCACCAATGGGTAGCAGGTGGAGGCTCTTAATGATTATATAATGGAGAGGTGGACATGCTATTGTGCATCCTTCTCATTTACTGGCATGGCCATCCCTTCTCCCTATGGAGGTAAGACTTGCCTGTCACAGCTCTCTGATTGTTTTTTTGCCAATCTAATTGGTTGACTTACATTAATTGCATCGGGAATAATGGATTTTAATTTACCCTTTTTTGGCTGTAGAAAAGATGAATGTTAAACAAAAGAAAACTTCTGTGTTGGAGGCGCTGGAGAAAGGTAAGTGCTGAAGGGGATTTAACCACACACACACACACACACACACACACTCTCATGAACAGACGCATACACACTAGCTAACAGACACACACATTTTCTGACAGACACACTCAGTGACAGACATACACACTGACAGACAGAAACACATACACACTCACTTACAAAGCATACACTCTCACTGACAAACACAC